CAACAGCATTGTAACGGTAACCGGAAAGACATTTGTTAAAAATAATCTTCCGATGTTAGAGGAACTTATTTTGGACAATAATAATCTGAATTTCACGTCCATTACCATTTTTAACACTCTCGAAAACTTGGCCAGTTTGAGTCTGAAAAACGCATTGTATTCGCCAGAAGCTGTCAACAGTCTCAGACATTCCTTGGTTAAATCGAATCTACCGAAACTCAAATATCTATGGCTAGACTCCAACCAACTCGTCTTGCTGCCGGTGCGACTTTTTTACGTCAATAAGGGGGCCGTAAACTCGCAGCGACTTGAGGTGATCTCCCTTAAAAACAATAGCATTGGAACCATCGAATACGGCACGTTCAACTCATCAGTTTTGAAACATCTGAAAACGATCGACCTCAGGGATAACGGCTTATACACGTTGGATAAAACTGTACTCTCGGAATTCGACAAGTTTCCCAATCTCACCATCAAGTTGTTTCCAAACACTTTCCGATGCAATTGTGACCTCCGGTATTTTCACGCCTGGATGCAGAGTACCAATGTCACCCTGCCAGGCAAAGAAAAACTGGTATGCGCCGAAGGCTACTATCCGTATGAAAACGCCAACCAAAACATAATGAGTTTAGATGCAGCAGACTTTAAATGTCAGCATGCGATAGCAGTTGAACACTACTTGGAACCATCTTACGTAATCCTCGGAATCATTCTGTCTTTCCTTATCGCGTGTATATTAGGAGTTGTATTCCTCCGCCGAAAGCAGATAAAAGTTGGGTTAAGAAATGTTTTTCTAGCCGCCAGAGAATCTATTGAAAGTGGTCCATATGGGGAGCGCCGTGGTTATGTGGACATCTCCAAGAATGGAAGGGAGTCTCCTGATCCAGACCCCCCAGCTGTTCATCTTTAAAACCAGGTATGTAGGGAGTTATAGTATATTTTTATTAGTAATGTTTTAGCTCCATGGATTGACTGATGCTTGGTGCTTTGACCATCATCATTTTTACAGCCAATATTTTGTCCATTTTTAAGTATTTTTTTGATCAATTTTGACTAAATGAAAATAATTTTCAATTCGTGAAAAAATTGTAAAAAATGTGATATATTTTATTTTGTGAGTGAATACGTTAATGTAATGACAAAGGTATGTCCATGGTCAAAGAAATATCTCCATGATCCAGTAGAGAGATTTACTACTAAAACATAGAGCAAATACTTGCTTACTTAAAACTTAAAAATAAAAATATATATTTTGAAATTCACAAGGAATCATAGAGGTCTTTTCAATTACCAACCTCTCGAAAGCATCAAAAGAAATTTCTTCACTATTCACTACTTGTGTGCTTATTGATTTGTTTGTTAAAATTTGTTAAAATAATTTTTTCTTCTGATTTTAACAAGCTTATAAAGAGATTAACCTTTAAAGGCGAAACAAAAGTGTGTTTTAAGTACATTTTCACAATTCAAAGAAAAATAATGATACATTGTGTATGTGATATATTAATAACCATACTGTGGTCTTGATTAGTGTTATTCCCAGAATTCCAGTAATTTTCAAAATGTCAACTCCACACCATAGATTCTTTGATAAAAACAGTTTAAATTATATCTTATGTATGTGTGTTATTTTCATAACAGAAAAAGATTGTTTGTATCAGTAACATTAAATATTTCCTCTTTGTTGAGCCAAACAAACAAATTTTTGACAAATATTCAATTATTTTGGTCTGGTTATTTCTTAAAATTATCACTACTGTATGCATCTTGTACTATAAAGTGGAATCCTAAAATATTACGAGTATATTTCTGCGCCGTTTTGTATGTACATATAGCATAATTAAATTTTACTTGTGACTGAAGAATAGATGAAACATCTCATTGTGTGGCTATCCACAGTCGCCTTATTTTCTACAACTGCTAGTGCTGACACATGTACAGTGTATTTCACTACAGAACTTGTATTCCAGTTTGTGATCACATGACAGGTCTGTGGTTACCATCTATCATAGTTGCCTTTTAGTTACCATATTGTATCCTCTGATTTTATAGTGTTATAATTATTTATTATAATGCACTATCCTGCCATCAACCAGGCCCGGTTGAATGCAAGCACCTATTGACCAAAGTTAAAGAAATGTTCCCCAGTTTAAGAACTTTCACATCAGAGAACATTTAATTGAAGATGTACTACTGTAAAATGACTAATTTCCACTGGGTTTAAATTTCACTGATTTACCATTTCAGGCATATTCAGTGAGTTTTAAATTCACCGTTTTATCATTTTAGATAATGTGTTCTATGCTAAATTTTACATATTCACTGGGTTTTAATTTAGCACATTTTCCAGTCAGCGAAATAAGCAAAATTAAAACCCAGTGAATAATTAACCCTTTTACAGTATTATATGATCTCAGTCAGAAATTAGACAACAATATTTGCTAGTTTATTATTTGTGAAAATTGTGAAATTGCAATCTCAAAACGAGTACATATTTACTGTGAACGAAAAAGCAATCCAACCAGCAGGATTATTGTACTCATAATAAAGCTCAATGTTTGGCAAACAAAATTGCAATATTGCTAATTTAAATGTAACAGTTTGTAATGGTAAGCTGATATGCATATTGATATTTTAATAACAAAACAGTGATTTATATTGCAATATTCTACAGTACATGTAGTTAAATTTAATTTAAATCTGTTTACTAAGGTATGACTTCTGTACGTTTGACTTAGATATTTCAATGTACATATAGCTGCATTCTCCGTTTGGAGTTGGAAACACAAACAACAGAGTTGCTTGGATCTGCTTTAGAATTCACCATGAAGCTGTGGTCCAATCTCAAAATTAAGCACCATAGTTATACCACAATGTAGCTGCCATATTTAGAAAGTCGGACACCATTTTCTGCTCAGACTGCTTCAATTAAACCAAGCAGACATCGATGATTTGATATCTTTTGATTTGTCATGTTAGAAACAAATCTCTCGTATAAACCAAAAATTTAATTTGTTGTAAAAACAATTTCATCTTGGAAACACCTCTGTATTTCACCAAAGTGCATGCACTACTAATAGAGCAAATACAGTACATACAATATCTGCTAGAGCTTCAGAAAATTAATCTAAGGTTAATATGTTAAGATGATTTTTTCTCAAATGTTAATTTAATTTCCATGGGTGAATCCCATCTGTGGCTGTGAAGGTCATTGCACTGTTGTGATGTACACATTGCAGTATACATATACTACAAGAGAACTGGTGATGGTTGTAGAACCATAACTGCCTCAGCTCAAAGACTGTTATGTAATATAATGGATGTAAAGGGAAATGTATTGTAGTGTTACCTCTGTGTAATTTACAATATATCTGCATTACCCTTTACTGTTAAGGACAATGTGGAGTTCACTTAAATGACTGGTAGAAGCAAGGCTGGGCAAATTTTGCAAAAAAAGTAGTTAGTTAGAATTACCAGGCACGCAATCGACACATTGATATCGAAATATGGATGATAAACGGCAAATGATATTTCTAGAGATATAGTTGGAATTGAAGCAAGGGAGTGGCCTATTATCTCATGAAACATACTCGCGCATATCCGTACATATCCCCTGGTCACCCTGTCTTAGTGTGTGTATGGGGGGGGGGGGGGCATGTACACAATCATAATAACTGGAAATGGTTTCAGAACGGAAAACTGTTTTATTACTGTAAATAATTATGAACAATAAACCCTGAAATTTAGAAAAACTATGGACAATAAATAAATAATGAAAATCTGTGATTTGCTGTACAGTTTCTAGAAAATTATAACAAGTCTCAGAAGTATTTGGACAGCCAATTTGCAAGCTCGCTAGCGAATTGGCAAACTGCTCGAGATGCTGAATTGTTCGAGTTACGGACATCGAGTTACGAAAACATCGTGTTACAGAAATGACCACGCCCATATTTTTGAACCACGCCCAAATTGTAACTCGATATTCAAACTATATTAACAGAACTTCGAGTTACGGGCAACATACATTTTGGTTTGTGTTGCACGTCCACATTCAGTAACTTTCAAATTTTGTAACTTTAATTAGCAGTTATTCAAATTCGAGTTGGTAACTCATGTGCGTGTCTGTAATGTCGCAACAATGTTACTGTTATTATTGCAACAAAACGCACCAAAATCGAGTAATGTGAAGATTTGAAAATATGTTTGCCTGATTTCACACGTTGAACTAGTGACACGGAAGACATTCGTGGTTTTTTTTAATTTACAATGAATTGTTATATAATAAAAGAGGGAGAGAGTCTGAGATGATGAAAATATGGAATGACGCCGATGAGGAAGTATCACGACTCTGGCCTCTGTAAAGTTGTGAAGATGTACAGGGACTAAGCCCAAAGTTGAAACAAGCAATCTCATTGCGTGGTAAAAAATGAAAGACAGTATCTGGATGAACAATAACTACAATCTACGTTGCTTACTGTTAATTACAATTCGAGTTAAATAATTAGAAAGTTAAACAAAACAAAAAATATATGTTGCCCGTTACTCGAAGTTTGATTAACTGTTATTTAAAGTTCGAAATGTATGGTGCCCGTAACTCGAAGTTCTGTTAACTGTTAATTGAAAGCGTGGTGGTCGTATTTTACACGCGTTGTATACGTCGCTATGAGTCCCATATCGAACAGGACGCAACACGAC